TCCGTTTTTCGGAATTCAACGCCAAGCCCCCGTTTTTGCGTTAAACGGGATTTAACGGGGGTCCTGGGGCCCGTTAAACGGATGAACGGCCGTTGAATTTCGCCCGTTCTCCGTTCAAAAGATACACAGCGCGTAATTGTTTGTGTCTGTGTGTGTGCCTCTGTGTGTGTGTGGCAGGCAAGACAAAGGTGCTTGCAGGTCTACAACACTTTTGGGAGCATTTGCAGACCCATGTCTTTATGTGTGTCTGTGTGTGTGTTTGTCTGTATGTCTGTGTCTATGTGTGGTTGTCTGTGTGTGCGTGGCGGTGTCTGTGAGTGTGTGTGTGTATGTGTGTGTGAGCACCCGTGTGTGCGTGTTTGTGTGTGTGTATCTGTGCGTTCTTGTGTGTGTGGTTGTGTGCGTCTGTGCCTGCGTGCGTTTGATTGTGTGTGTGTGGTTGTGTCTGTCTGCGTATGTCTAACTGTGTCCTTGTACGTGTGTGTTTGTCTGTAAACTCGACTGGCACAGACGAAAGTGATTATAGGCCTATAACATTGTTTTGTTAGCCCGAGACAGCTTTTACGAGAGAGAGAGAGAGAGAGAGAGAGAGAGAGAGAGAGAGAGAGAGAGAGAGAAAGAGAGAGAGAGAGAGAAAGGTCGTCCACCCAAAGGTAAGTGAACAAGAACTCACGAATGAAAATAAGAGGGTTATCAGAAACAACCTTTAGAAAAAAAAAATAGAGGGTTATCAAAATTAATCTTTAGAAAAAAAGAAAAATCCGACAAAAGAACTGAACCAAATCCGACAAAAAAATAAATCATAAATGCTCCACTAAGTCACTCCACGTGTAAACTAAAGTACCACAATATACCGAAAACTACCACACCTGTGCCGAGTGCCCCTCGGTGAACCTCCCCAGGCCTCGTTCCTCGAAATGCCTACAATGTACAACGGAACACATGGTTCCCACTAATGATGACACTCTCAAAATTGTCGACCTATTGCGGTCTGACCCACGAACCGAGTGCGCCTGGTTCCCACTTCCACGACCTAAAAAGGAAAGAGCTAGCCTACTCTACAGAACAATTCTGCACAAAACAAACCCATGTGCCAAGCCACACAGCTCCAACGACGAAGGGACGACGACCAATTCTGGGAGTGGTAAACTAAAGTACCCGTTGTCCCCGAAAACTAACACACCTGTGCTTAGTGCCCTGGGTCGACCTCCCCATGTCTCGTTCCTCTAAATGGCTACAATGCACAGCGGAACACATGGTTCTGAGTAATGATGACACTCTCAAAATTGACGACCTACTGCGGTCTGAATCACGAACCGAGTGCGCCTGGTTCCCGCTTCTACGACCTAAAAAATAAAAAGTTAGCCTGCTCTACACAATAACAATTCTGCGGAAAACAAAGCCATATGCCAAACCACACAGCTCGAACCACGAAGGGACGGCGACCAATCCTGGGAGAGGCATCCAGACAAAGCAGCACACACTCCGACGAAGCAGGGGTGACAATCAATCTTTGGAGGGATCCAGGCAAAGTAGCACACACTAGAGGAGACTCGTGTACGAATACGGCTTGGTTTTTCTTCTCGCACTAATTGCGAGAGGCGCAATCCTTGCTACATGGACCGTTGTCGATCCTGCTTCGGCTCTTTGACGGGAACACACCAAGCAAATCATTATTCGATATCAACAAATGACAACTCGTAGACCACAAACCACAGGAATCCTCATTTTCTTCATGCGATGCTCACATGAGACTTGTGAACGAATAAAGTTTGGTTTCTCCTCTCACACCAGTTGCGAGAGGCGCAATCCTTGCTACATGGATCGTTGTCGATCCTGCTTCGGCTTTTTGACCGGAATGTACCAAGCAGATCATTATTCGACGCCAATAAATGGCAACTTCTGGACCTTTTGTCAGTATCGCAGGTGATCCATGGTTTGAGGCCACACATGGTGAGAAGAACAAGCGGAAGGAGAAAACACGACCAAGACGGGAGAGTCGGCAGAACACGAAAGTGACTTGAGGCCACACATGCAATATAGGCCTATATCTAAAGTGTGTGTCCACACATGCAATATAAGCCTATATTGCATGTGTGGTTTAAGGCCACATATGTAATATAGGCCTATATCGAAAGTGCGTGTTCACACATGACATATAGGCCTATATCCAAAGGATACGTTGTGGCCTCAGTCACTTCGCAGTCCGTGAGCGAGTATTGTCCTGGAGGCCAATCGTTACCCCACCCTGCGGACTTGACACCTCTTCACCGCCTGCCTTTCATTTGCGCCCCTTTTTGCCGCCAGCCGTGATCCTGCTCGATTCCTGGCTCATGACGAGACTCAAGACACTCTGCTGAGCATTTGCAGCAGCGGGAACAGGCCCGAACGTAGGTTGGGTCTCAACCTCTGGTCTAGCTTCGGAAACAACGCTGGGAACAGGCATGGAAGCAGGCACGGGTCTACCCTCACCGAGAAGAGGCACAGCGAAAGCGGGCTCAACACCAATAACAGTTTGCTTCACACCGGACGGGCCGGCAGCAGCCTCGGCAGTGGGCAAACTCGCACCTGACGGCCCGACAATGACAGCCTCAGCGTTGTCCGCCACTCCAGTAGCAGTACCCGCGTCTTTGTCGGGCACGAGTTCATTTTTGACAGATTTCGTATCCCCAAACAACTTAGAGGTCGGGCTGCCTTGTGCGACCTTTTTTTTCCGCTTTGGCGTTTCGCGGGGAAGTGTGTCGCCGATGTCTGTCAGAAGCCTCGTGGCGATGCCCTTAGCGCACTTGGTGTTTATCTCCACCACAAAGCAATTACGATTTACCTTGACGCACGCTATGGCGCCTGTGCCGGAACCGGAGAAACCATCCAGAACGCAGGCCCCTGCGGGAGAGAATTTGTTCATAAGCCAGGAGTACAAAATATACGGCTTCTGGTACGGGCAGAGGACACCGCCACCAGGGTGCTAGTACTTCTGCGTCACAGCATTGAAGAGCTGGAAATTGTGACACATATCAGTGGGATCAAAATTGTAGTGCGCCATCTCGCGCTGCCCAGTCTCACTGTAATAGCCCAACATGCAGAATTCGGTCGCACTCACAAGCAGAACGCAGGCCCCTGCGGGAGAGAATTTGTTCACAAGCCAAGAGTACAAAATATACGACTTCTGGTACGGGCAGAGGACACCGCCACCAGGGTGCTGGTACTTCTGCGTCACAGCATTGAAGAGCTGGAAATTGTGACACATATCAGTGGGATCAAAATTATAGTGCGCCATCTCGCGCTGCCCAGTCTCACTGTAATAGCCCTGCGTGCAGAATTCGGTCGCACTCACAAGCCGGGGCCCACCAGGATTCGTCACATTAGGCTTGCACCACGTCAAAAGTTCCTGCCCTGCATTGCAAATTTCCCGGAACGCGGAACGGATGAAAGGAAGCATGTCCACCGAACAGAATCCCACAACTGTCCACAACGGGGCACTGAAAACGTCCTTCAGATTGTGAAGAACCTCCACAACGTCTGACTCCGGAAACGACTCATTATCAGATGCGTGGCCCTCGTGCGCGAACCCGTAAGGGAAGTCGAGAATAGCCAGAGATATCGGCAGTTTTTCTGTCTGCAGCTTCAACAACAAGCGCATGTCGCCATTGATAATTTTTACTTCCGCCGAGTCATTGTTGTGTGTCACCTCCGTCCTGTCGACGAACGGTTCCACGAGAGGTTTCGAACGGAACGCGTGAATAACCTTCTTTGCTTGCAGTCTCCTTTTCTTGTACTTCTATTCTAAAGCTCGTTTAATATGGCCTCGTTGGACCCCTTCTGATGCCACCAGCAAACTTCTCCAAAATCTCTTTCTTCGTGTGGTGAGGATACTCATTCTCGGCCTCCTTGAAGTCAGCAGCACCCACCCCCACTGCGAATGCCTTGCAGACGTAGGCGATTTGCTTGACAAGCTGGAACTTCTTCTCCATCTCCTTGAGCGAGATTTGCTTCGCAATGACCTCAAGGTGGATAGGGACGGCGTTCTCTGGAGCCATACTACCCATGACTATCCAGTGTTGCGCTGGCATGTCCTCGACAACCATGGGGACCTTGTTACCCTACAGTTGCATCCGAGGATAAAAAAACGCAATTTCTTGTTCCTTCGCAGCCGCCCTATCAAGCCTCTTCCCACGCCGGCTTTTCTCCTTTGAGACTTGTGAACCGCCATGAGCGGCAATGCAGTGGGGGTCAAGGGGAAAGGGGAGAATGGCTATGGGGGGTAGGTTGTTGTTGAAGATTGAAATGCGGCAACGAAGGTTCGTCGTGGAGTCTGGTTTTTTTTTTTTTTTTTTTTTTTTTTTCTCTCTCTTTATGTGGGTGAACCGCCATTACCGGCAATGCAGCGGGGGCTAGAGGGGGAGAGGGGTCTATGGCTATGGGGGTTAGGTCGATGACGGGGGAGCGGCGACTATGGGTCTATTTTTTTTTTTTTCCCTTTCTTTAAGATGAGTGAAAGGCCATAAGCGGCAATGCAGTGGGGGATTAGGGGAAAGGGGTGAACGTGTGGCGGGTGGGGTGGGGTGCGCAATGAAGTGTTGTGACGAAGGTCCGTCGTAGGGTCAATTTTTTTTTTTTTCTTTCTTTATGTGGGTGAATACTGAACCGCCATGAGCGCCAAATTGTCGGCAATGCAGTGGGGAATTGGGGGAAAGGGGTCTATCATCGATGGCTGTGGGGGGCATGGTGAGGATGGAGGTTCGTTGTTGGACATTGAAATGCGGTAATGAACGCCCGTTTAATGGCCTGTTTTTTTTTTTTTCTTTAGGACGGGTGACTCGCCATAAGTGGCAATGCAATGGGGGTTAGGGGAAAAGGGGTCAAAGTGTGGTCGGGGGGAAGGCAAATTTGTTTGTACATTGACCTCATTTCAATTATTTTGTTTTCTTTCTGTTTTTCCCTTTTCTTGTTTGTCGTTGTGCACCTTGTGGTAACGGTCTATGTTTTTTAGGGTGATTTTTCAGTTCTTCAGTGCAGTTCTTCGTTGCCGCACTCAGTTACATTTTCTTGGAGGTGCGCATCATGTCTGACCCACGCGACAACAATGGGAAGGGCCCTGCGGACTCCTCCTCGGCAATGGGGAAGAAGTCCGACTGTGGTAAAAAATGTCAAAACGTGAAGACCATTGACTCCCCTTTCAAGGTTGATCCAAAGACAGATGCGAAACGGGATGATCCTGTTTGGCATTTTGTCGCACGTGGTCGTTATTTAGATGGATCCACTGTGCTCGGGAGAAAGAACGGTCGTCGCTGTATGTGCAGGTTGTGTGGCCGTTCTATTTGTGGGGGTGCTCGCGATGCAAAGGAGCATTTTTATGGTGGCGAGAGTTACAGATGCACCGTGGCCACTCCGGCGGTATAGCACGCAATTTGGTCAAAGGATATGTCCAAGTGTCCTGCACATCTGGCTTCAGTCGTGCTGACTTTGCAGGGTTTCCCTCTAGGTCATGCATATTTTCAGTGGTCACCACTTCCTTTCCTCGAAGACGCTGTTTCACCGCCTACGGCGTCATCCAACCCCTCGCAGGCGGCACCATCTCCACTTACTCCACATGCATCGCTCCCTTCGCCCGATGGCAGTGTCACCTGCACCGCTTCACCAGACAATTCCCGCAGCCGTTACTGGTGCAGTTTCTGGTGGGTGTGCACCAGATGCGAGTGTCATACTGTCGTTAGCCGCGCAGGCTGATGCACCGGGCCCCGTGCCGGTTTCGGGTGTCGGGGGACGATCACAGTTCGACGAGGCGGGGACTCGTGCTTTCGTTGAGGGTCATATGTGGGGGAAGGACGCAGGCACATCAGCCGGGAGAGCCCCATTGTTCGCTGAGAACAGGGATAGGGTTGCGAGAGTTTCACGTGCAGCCGCAAGTCCGGCCGTGGCGGGACCAACTGCAACGGGGCATCCACCCGCTGCTTATCCGTGGTTACCACCCCCTCCTTCGCAAACACGAGCTCCTGCATCTGACTTCCCTTCGGCACCTGTTGGAGACGCCGCTGCAGCGGTCCCTGAGGGGATGGGCACAGTCCCGCCCGACGGCCCCGTTCAGGTTTCGGACTCGTCATCCACGCTTGCACAAGTGAACGCCCCGACCTCGCAGTACGGTGTTTTCGGAAAATTGGATCCTTTACAAAATTTGCGCAATATTGCAGCCCCGAGTCCGCCCCCTGCAGCATCACATGCGGCCGGCGGTGGCTTGTGGGATTCTTTTGGTGTAGGCGTCGGTGCATGAGGGAGGAACACTTTCAGGCAACAGACGGTGACCCCGTATTACAATGACCCTCTGGAGCACGCATGGTGCCTTCAGATCATGTGATTCATTGTTGAGAGCGGCATGCCGTTCAACTGCGTGAAGCTTGAAAGCTATAAATGCATGTTGGCGGTGATCATCCCGCCTGGAGTGTCGGGAGCGCCCACCCTGAAACCCCCCATGTATCATATGATCCGCACTACACTTTTGGATGAGCTCGATTCCGGAGTCCAAAAGTATGTGACACCTATCCTCGCTACTGCAGCTACCTACGGTTGCACGATCATAACAGACGGATGGACGAACATTCGGGGCCAGACGTTGTGCAACTACCTCGTTGGGACTACACGGGGTGCCACATAGGTCGCGACAAATATTATGTGAGGAAAGAAGGATGCCGCTGCCCTAGCTCAGGCTTGGCTTAAGAGGTTGAAGTCCCTTGACATCAAGCTCGCAGACATCACCGTTTTCATCACAGACTCGGCCAGCTCGAACGTTTCCACGATGGAGGTGTTCCAGAAGGACGAGTCTGTGAAACACATCTTTTGGATCCCTTGTGTGGTGCACGTAATGGACCTCATCCTTGAGTACATTGGCAACATTGAGTGGGTGGCGACTCGCATTGCTCAGGCGCGGGTGGTCACAAAGTTTTTCAAGCGCCATAGGCATGCCTGCGAGGTTTTGGAAGCGTTCACGACAGTGACACTTTTGCTTCCCGCCGAGACGCACTTCGGCACGCATGTCATTATGATGCGGCGACTTCTTCGCCTGCAAGTGCATCTTATGCGGGTGGTCATTGATGATCGATGGAAGAACACTGTTGTATCAACGAAGAAGATTCGAGATGATGCCGTGGAAGTCACAGCATGTGTCAGTTTTCCTGTGTGGTGGGAGGATATGAAGGCGGTGTGCGAGTTGTTGGATCCCATCATGGACATGTTGCAGATGGTGGACAGTGACACGAGGCAAATCGGTAAGATTTTGCACCGGTACGACGCGATGATCTTACGTTGTTTGTCCGCATGTGCTGCTTTTGACAAGGAGGAGCAGGATGCAGTGCTTGAGGTTTTCGACATACGCCGAACCATGTTCAAGTCGCCGACTCATGTGGCTGCCATGATGTTGGATCCAGAGTTCCGAGATCGTACACTGGCGGACGACGAGGAGATGCAGCCGGGTTTGATCGCTGCTGTGGTTCAGTTTGGATACCCACAGAGCTCGGACCAGCACAAAGAGGTCCTCACTGCCATCGACAAGTTTCATGTCAGGGAGCTACCATTCGACGACGTGGCAATGAATCGAGCTGCACGGAGCTATGACCATTCAGCCACTTTCTGGGAGTCGAAGGAGAAGAGGTTCCCGCATACAGCCTTCTTCGCCAGCAGGATACTATGTATCTGGGCGACGGCATCGCCTTGCGAGAAAGCTTGGTCCCGCTAGAGCTTTATCCACTCCAAATCCCGTAACAGGTTGGAGGTCGGATGGGTCGAGAAACTCGTGCGATATCATTGGAACCTTCGCCTTCTTGACAGGCAGGCTATGTCGGACGATGCTCCCAAGGACAGGCCACATCCGTACGGGAGCTAGGTGCATTACTGGCAGCAGATGTAGGACGAGTTGCCCACAGACCAGCAGCTTGTCTCAGGCCGAGAAACCCAGATGGCGGTGACACAGGAGGAGTTGATGCAGGCGAGAGAGAGGATGCGCGTTGTATCTCGCATGGGAGCCACGTGTCAATTGCGGGCGTCTGACAAGAGGAGGCGTTGTAGCGGCAGTTGCGGTGGTGGTCGACGGGGCGGACGGAGACCAGGCGGGCGTGGAGGTGCTCGTAAGAGTTTTACCGCAAGTCGTCGACTGCCGGTGGACGAGCTTGTACGCAAGCCTCCACAGCGTTGGGACTAGGGAGACTTCTTATATGAAAATTCGTCCAGTGACGATGAGGCTTTCTTTGGGACTGCAGGCATGCCTGCATCAGACGACGACAACGATCTTGGAGACCCCCACCCGGACGGAGACGACGACGACGGCGCTGAAGACGATGATCATGATGATGGTGGAGATCGGCCACGGACCCACGCGGCACGTGCAGATGGTGACCGAGGACCTGACGAGGCGGCTGACGGAGATGATCGTGATGAGGGTGACGCTGGGGGCGACGATCATGGTGACGGTGACGGCCGGGGAGGGGAAGGCGCACTGGGCTCCACACGTGAAGCTACATGCAGAGGGATCACTGCCATGGACGTCGACCACGGCGCACGGAACGATGATGATGGAGATGGATCGGCCGCCGAAAGTCCAGAACTTTTTCAGGGCGGTGCCCTTCAGCGCTTGAGACGTGCACCGAGGGAACAAGACACTATCGGTTCACGTGTGCGCAAACATCACGGTGGGGGTGTAGCTGCTCCACGACCATGAGTCCATGCTACTGAGCAGATTCCAGTTCTTGAGGACTCTTTCAGCGACAACGCCCGCGAGGAGCGGATCGAGCAGGATGATGGGAGCGGTTGTGCACGATATCATACGGACGGTATGCACGCGACAGCGCCGACAGGGTCCTCTACAGTAATCCCGGAACCGCCACAGTGCAACGGACCATTGATGCCTCATCCTGAGATCGAGGGACATGACGGTGATGATGCGGTAATGCAGGACGAGGGCAGTGCTGTGGCACTGCATCCACTCACATCAGATGGCGGACCTGAGGCAGCTGCAATTACTTTGGACACGAGACGACCACCGGCAGCGACGGAGCAAGAGAGTATGCTCCCACCTCGCAACATTCATGCAGTTCAGTCTGACGTCACCACATTGGGGGTAGCTATGCAGCACTCAAAGACACAGGGTGCTGTCGCAGATGACACCGCATCCCGGCCACCGCCTGCATTGCTGGAGGAGAGTCAGGAGACTGTAGTTGCGCATTCAGGCGTCGACATTCTGGCAGGGGAGGTCTCACACACTCCCGCACCTGAGTAGAGCGCTGCAGGCCATATCGACAAGTGGTTATCACATAGATGAATATTCACAGATGAACATTCTGAAAGTGGGAAAAATTTAATGGTTTTTCGGGTTTGAATTTATGTTTGTACGTGATGAATCATAGCTTGCAACTGTGAAAGAATGAGGTGCAAAATGTTGTTCATGGTGAATGCATTTTTTTTATTTATTTTTTTCTCGTGAACCATCCTGAAGGGGTTAGTGCCCTGAAGGCCTGAAAACACCCCCCCCAACACTGAGGATCCTGAACGATCCTTAAGAGGTGAATGTCATTCAGGGCATTCACTCCTTCAAGATTGTTCATAGTTTTCATGATGTTTTTTTTTTTTTTTTTTTTTTTTCCTGTGAACCATCCTGAAGGGGTGAAGGCCCTGAAGGCCTGAAAGCACCCTTCCCCCCACCTTATAGCTCCCATTGTTAAGCGTCGAGGATCCTTAACGATCTTGAAGAGGTGAATGTCTTCGGTGGTCTGAAAGCAAGGAGTCGAATGGAGGTGCGAGGGCTTTCAAGGCCTTCACCCCTTCATGATAGTAGGAGTCAAAGGCGGGATTGCTTTCAGGCCGTTCAGGCAATCACCCTTCATGATTGTTCATAGTTTTCATGATTTATTTACTTTATTTATTATTATTATTATGTGAAACATCCTGAAGGGGTGAATGCCCTGAAGGTTTGAAAGCACACCCCCCCCCACCCTATGGCTCTTACTGTTAAACGCTTAGGATCGTGAACGATCCTGAAGACGTGAATGCCGTCGGTGGTCTGAAAGCAAGGAGTCGAATGGAGGTTTGAGGGCTTTCAAGGCCTTCACCC